GACCCAGGAGCAGCAAGGCCTGGGGTGCAGCCTCTCCCCAACTTCCCCGACCTTCAGCCCCAAACAGCCATCCCAGGAGCCCACCAGCCCTTGCCTCAGGCTGCAGAACCTGATGGGGCTGCACAAGGGACCAGGGATTTCGTCCCAACCTCAGCAGCTCGATGCCCAGGCCAGGGAGGGAAGAAGTATGGGGCGCCCTGTCTCCTGCTCTGGGCTGGCGTTTCTGGCCTCCTGCTTAGCTGTTCCCCTTGCCAAGAAAGTGGTCCTCATTTCTGCACCTACCCCAATGCTCCTGGATTTTTGAGGCTCATGTCAAATGCCACCTCCATTGGGACAGAACCAGACTCCCCCCACTATCATTTACCCTCCTCATAGTCCCCTGGGCCACTGGGGTAGGGGTGTGTTTCCTGCCACTCCTGCCTGCCCATCTCTCTCCTTCTTCTGTCTGATCTTCCTCTCTGCTTCTGAGCCCAAAATACAATGGGGACTCAATCCTGTTTTTTTTAAAAAAAGAGGGAGAGGGTGAACAAACTCCATTCCTGAGTCAAGCCATACCACAGCTGGGTCGAGAACCAAGGACCCCCCTCTCCATAGCCAAAAAGCATGAAAGAATGAGGTCTCTGTGCCCCTTTTGTATGTTGGAGGTATGAGCAGCAAGAGTGCGTCACACATCTGCACAAAGCTGGCAAAACGATACTACCCTTCCCTTACACCCCTCTTCCTCTCTCTGGGGCACAGGCAGAGGCCCCTACCTGGCTCTCCCTTTTGTCTCTTATTATTCGTATTCATTTGACAAAGGCATGGAGAGCTCTTGGTATATGCCAGGCTTGCATAGGTCATGGAGAGGAATTTCAGTTCCCCAAATTCACAGCCAGGCGGAGAGGGAGGAAGAAGGGCAGATGACAAACCAGCAGTTCCTGGCAATCTGACACTGACTCCAAGGGGGGTATGCTAAGGAGCACAGAGGACTGAATAGGGCATTCAGTCATTCATCTTGGGCACCCCAAGATAAGGTGAGCACTAAAAACAGCAAGAGGTGCCAGGCGGGAATTCCCTGACTGTCCAGTGGTTAGGACTCAGTGCCCTCACTACCTACTACCGGGTCCTGGATTTGAGTTCTGGTCAGGGAACTAAAATGCCATAAGCCGTGCAGTGCGGCCAAAAAAAAAAAAAAAAAAGAGAGAGAGAGAGAGAGAGAGGTGCCAGGAAAGGAAGCAACAGAGACCCTTCCTGGGGAAGCAAAGGCTTGGGACCAAAAAGAGGGCTGCCCTGGAGGCTGCAGAATATGATCACCTGGGCCTTGAGCATCTCTCCCCATCTCTACCTGTCCATATCTATCACTCAGTGGTCTGTCTATGCCCCTCACACTTCCAAAGGGCAGTCAATTCCCCCATGCAGGGCTGAAGGGCCAGGAAGAGGCTGGGCTCTGAAGGAGTTCAGTTCACAAAAGAAGTTGGGGAGGTGGGTGGAGAGAAGCAGGGAAGGGCGCTCTCCAAAAAAGTGCCCTGGTCATAGACCCTGCCCCCATCTCTCTTTGCCAGAAGAGGTCCTGAGAGCTGGGCCTGGCCAGAGACAGCAGGGCAGGTCCAGAAGCAGGCTTGGAGCCTGGTCTGAATTTTGGAGCAGCTGGCTCCCTGCTCCCCAGGCCTGCAGAGAGGCAACTTCCCTCCCCCTTCCCCTATTGGCCTGCTTCTGGCTTTAACCTTTTCTGGGTCTCCAATCCCTTTTGAGAATCCAATGTGTTATGTAATATTGCCCCTGAAAAAACGTGCACACTTGGGCTCACATACATAATTTTACACACAATTTCTGGGATCTGCAGAGCCCCTAAAGCCCATTCAAGGAAACTTTGGGCTCTGGTTAGATACTTTGTGGTTCCAGGATTAAGACCTGAGTCAGAAAAAACCTTCTTCAAATCCTAATTACTCCCAAACAGGCTGTGTGACTTTGGAAGTGTTACTTAACTTCTCTGGGCCTCATTTTCCTTGTATGTAAAATCGGGGTAATAGCAGTAGCTACCTCACAGGGTTGTGAGTAATAAATAAAATCAATAAAAACTCTTAGCCGGAAGCCAAGCACATGGTAGCCAAGCACATGGTAAGAGCTTATGGTGTTTATTGTCATGGTTACCGTTGTTGTTACTACAGAAGGTGGCCCAGGGCAGAATATAAAAACCAAGCAGGCAGTCCTGGTTCAGCCAGGGTGGCAGGAAGCCATCTATCGGAGTCTACTTCTACAGCAGAAGAAACACTCTCTGAATTCCACAAGGAGTGTCACAGTAGCAGGTCCCTTGGGGACAAAAATGATCCTGATTTGTGGTCAAGTTAACTAATTTCAAGCAATGTCAGAACCTTTTTTCTGAAGGAAGCGCTGGCCTGAAGGCCAATGCTGGTGCTTACATAAATAACCGGGACATGAATGGGGCTACCAAAACAATCTGGATTAAAGCCGATGGAGCCTTTGAGGGTTTACTTGAATATTCTCTCATGCTAAGGAATAACTCATTTTGTCTGAGTCTACAGTGTCCTCTTACCCTCGCAATTCATGCAATTTTCTTTCCCTCCTCTTTGTCCGGAATATTCACTGAACTAGGGGGAAAGCAGATTTGGGGCAGAATAATCCCTTCCCCTTCCACTGGAGACCGAAGAAGGCTGGGCCCTGGTGGTATAGGCAGCAAGCAGGAATTCGGGAGTCAGGATACAGTATAGACCAGGCTTTGAAGACAGGCATTCCCTCTATGGAGCAGACTCCAGGGACCAGCTGCTTCCACCTCCAGGGGAGAAGACACTGACCCAGTTGACCGGGGGTGGGAGACCCCAGAAAGTCTTCCTGGACCAGCACTGAATCCCAAGAAGGGGGCTGAGTAGAAGGTGAGATCCTGGAGCAATGGCAGAGTTCCTTCCCACCAACACTCACCCCACCTGCCTCTGAGTTACCCCCCTTTCAAAAATCCCAAGCCCAAGCCTTGCCCCTCCACAATACATAATTGTTTATCCTCTATTTGCTTGACAAAAACTCATTCAACCAATAATTGAGAGTACCCAGGTTCTTGCCTGGCCTGTGAATGTCTGAAGTGGATGGAATCCCCATATCAAGGACCCTGCCCTTAAGCATCTCCCATTATGGCAGGAGAGGGAGTGAGGCTAAGGGCAAACCCAAAACACAGCTCCTAGCTCTGCAGAAGGAGGCAGTGGGTTTGGGCTCCCAGGATCCCAGAACCTCCCCCACACTGGGAGGGATCCCAGCCAACCTCCCACACACTGAGGTCTGGAGTTGGGGGAAAACCACAGGGTTGGGGGAAAAAAATCAGTGTGGCAGCTGGGCTGGTTTTTAAAGATAATCTGGATGGGGTGATGGAGGTAGGGGGCCCTAAACAACAAAACAGGCAGGTGACACCATGTGCCCCCTGATTCCCCAACTATGCTGGCCAGAGCTGTTTGGCCAGCGGGGAGCACAACCAAATAGACCAAAAAACCCAAAACCTTGGGACTGGGCGGCAGGTGCCTGCTAGGAAGAGAAGGAGAGATTTGACAATGATGGGTGGAAGGGGTAATGTAGCAGACGATTGTGGACTGTCCTGTCCACTTTGACACAATGTGGCCAGAGACTAAAGGTCCAGGGAAACAGGGCTCCAGTGGAGGAATTCTATGCTACCACCCCTCTGCTCCCCAATTCACTTTCCTCACCTTCCTGGCAGCCTCACAATAATCCTGAGCTCTGCTGTTCCTGAGGGACTGGGAGATGGGTAACAGCAGGGTTGTCCTTAAGATCCTGTCTTGCCGACCAATATCAGGTGTGGAGACAGGAACAGACTGGAAAAATGGGGGAGGAGGGGTATTATGGGAGCTCCTCAGGAGGATGGGGACCAAAGAGTCCCTATTTCCTGATCTGGAAGGGCCTCCTCTGCTAGCATGGGGGATATGGCTTGCCTGAGGTTCTGGGTCAGGGCTTTGGGGGTTATGGCAGGAAAGGGCTGTGGGCCAGAGGCTGAGGTGAGATCCTGAGAGCAGGAAGTGAGAAGAGAGAGCAGACCCCTTTTGGTCCCAGAGCTTCCAACCTAGCAGGGTTCAGCTCCCTGGAGCCCTCTTCTTCAGATCCCTCTCCACCATCTCTGGACTCCGACTCCAGGCCCAGTCTCACCTCATGGCTTCCAGAGCAGCACTGATGCATCAGAGACAAGCCTGCCTTGGGGATAGTTCTGCAGCTCTGGGGGAACATTCTCACCGTTCCTGCTTCTAAAGCACCTGTCCTCCCCCCCAAAATGCAGGACAAAGATGCGGAAGAGGATAAGTAGATCTTCCCAACACTGCCAAGCAGGCCTGGGGCAGGCACTGAGGTCCCAAATAAGAATCCTCTCTCCCTACACTGTCCCCTTTTACTCTGGAGAGCTGCAAGCCTTGTTCCAAATGAATAACTAACCAGGAGATAAAGAAACTGATCTCTGATGCTCAGAGGACCCTATGCTAGAGGCATCAAGGAAGAGAACTTGTCCCCTGCCCCACAGCCCAGCTTGGTTTGCTCTCTGGAGCAGGTATGAAGGGGCAAGAAGTCCAAGAGGTCCTATTCTTCCCACCCCAACCTCTGCGCTGGGCCACAGTCCTCTGCACTGGCCTCTCTAGGGTCTTCTCTAGACCAAGCAGGGCTGCCAGACTGCACTGCCTGCCCAGGAGTTTACAAACAAAGCAAGGGAAAGGGCTGGGGCTGTATGTGGGGAGGGAACAGCTCTTCCTCCCTTGGCTACAACCTCCCTCCTCCTCCCCTCCTTCCTACAGGGGTGGAAATGGAAAATTAGGGTGGCAGGGCAGGTGGCCCCACACAAACCAAAGGAGGGACTCAAGAGAAAAAAAACATCAAAAACTGGGGACATAGCCCCCTTGGGTGCCTCAGGGGAATGAAAGACATAGGTAGGGGTTCAAGCCACCAAAATACCCACAGGTTCACATACGTTTACACAAATAAACACATGGAGAACCACACACAAATATACATATTCATAAACACATTCAAATACACACATAAATGCTCGCCTGATATGCACAGAGTTCGGGCCGTAAGGTTCCCAGTGCCCAGTCGGACTCGAATGCCTCTCCCTGCGGGTTCCTGAGATCGCAGCCCCATCCGTGGCCCGGCCCCCTCCGGGCCCCCGCCACGCATCCGGAACAGCTGGAGTCGGCCTGGCGGTGCACTCAAGCCGGGCGCTGGGCTGGGCGGGGCCGGCAGCGGGGCCCCGGCCGGGGCCGGGCAGAGCTCAGCGGGGAGGCCCTGAGCCTGCCCCGTTAGCCCCGGCACCCGGTCCGGCTACCACGGTCGGACGCCGGTCACCAGGCGGGCCGTGGCCCCAGCTGGCCCGGAGAGCCGCGGCCTGAGAAGAGTGTGCAAGATTGCCGGAGGAGGTAAGGCTGTCGCTTCAGGCTCAGGCGGGGGAAGAGGTGCCTAGGGCCACCAGCAACTCCCCCCCTCCACCTCTCGGTTGGGGAAGGCTGTGTCCTCTGACTGGCCTCCTCTCCCAACCCCTGGGATCCCCCACCCCTGTGTCCTGTGTCGCCTCACCCAGGGCTGCAGAGCCTCCTTGGACCTCCCGCGGGCCAACCCGAGGGCTGCAGATTCCTTCTCCCCAGGCGCGTTGCCCAAGGCCGTGGGTGAGGGGCAAGTGGATCTAGGGGTAGGGGCGCTGGGTCCTTGATCTCAGCCCGGCAAAGTCCGCTCTGGGCGGCGACGGGGCCCACCCAGGCTCCTGGTCTTACCTGGCCCGCGCGGCGGCTGCATACCTCCCCGGATGGGCTCCTGCCGCGCTTCTCCGGCGCCAAATCCCGGGTTGGAGAGCCTGAGACCTCCGGGCCAGCGCTGCCATCACAGCCAGGCCGGCGGGAGGCGGGTACGCCGGGAGCGCGACTCACAGTTTGGGGTGGGGGCGGCGGCTTTTCAGTCGCCGGTGGTTCGGGTGCAATAAAGGAGCCGCTAATGTAATTTACAAACAGCTCGGGCCGAGCGCGGCGCAGCGCCGGGACTGACAGGCGCATTAGGCAGGCTAATTCCAGCCGGCTCCTCCTACCCCAGGCCCGCTAATTAATGAGCTTCCCAACTTAGAGCTGCCTGCATTGGACAGACAGAGAGTGAAAGAGAGGACGAGGGAGAGGGAGAGAAGGAGAGAGACGGGGGGAGCAGAGAAGAGAGAGGGAGGGAGAGAGGGAGAGAGAAAGGGAGAGAGAGAGGAAGAGAGAGAGGGAGAGAGAGGGAGAGAGGGAGGGAGAGAGGGAGAGAGAGAGAAGAGGAGAGAGAACAGAGAGAAAGAAGAGAGGAGAAAGACAGAGAGAAAGAGAGAAAGAGAGAAGTGCCGCTGCAGATAATTGATTACTCCTCGATCAAGGCTAACTTGTTAGCAATAGTCAATTGCCCCATCTCTCCGCCTCCCCTCGCAGTACGGGATCGGCGCCCTCGCCTCGGCTCTTCCAACTGCCGCCGCCAGGACCCGGGGCCAGGAGCCGCCGCGGAGCCACCTGACACCTTTAAATAGCACCGGGGCTGGCGAAACTGGAGCCCCGCGCGGCGCGCCCCGGCTCGCGCCCCGGATTGCTGGAAGCCCCGGCGGCGGTAGCGCCCGCGTCAGCGCCCTCCTCCTGGGGCCCCGTGCGGCTGTGCTCGCCTCTGCCGCTGCGCTAATCGGCCCCGAGCCCGGCCCGCGCGCTGCCGGGCACGGCCTCCTTCCCGCCTGCCGCCCGCCCGCGCCTCCCGGCGCCCGAGCTGCCCGCGGGCTGGGTCCCCGAGGCCCGAGCCGCCCCGGCCGGGCCCCCAAACGAGGCCGAGATGACTTCCAAGGAGGACAGCAAGGCGGCGCCGGGGGAGGAGAGGCGGCGCAGCCCGCTGGACCACCTGCCGCCTCCCGCCAACTCCAACAAACCGCTGACGCCGTTCAGCATCGAGGACATCCTCAACAAGCCGTCTGTGCGGAGAAGTTACTCGCTGTGCGGGGCGGCGCACCTGCTGGCGGCCGCGGACAAGCACGCTCCGGGCGGCTTGCCCCTGGCGGGCCGCGCGCTGCTCTCGCAGACCTCGCCGCTGTGCGCGCTGGAGGAGCTCGCCAGCAAGACTTTTAAGGGGCTGGAGGTCAGCGTCCTGCAGGCAGCCGAAGGTAGGCGCCGCCACTGGGTTCCCCGGCGCTCAGCACCAGGCTCCCGGCTCAATGTGTCCCACGCTTAGTGCTCTCTGCCTCTTGCCGCCCCCTCCCGCGCCGGCTGTCTGGGCCCTCCAGCCCAAGCCGCTGCCGCTGGGAGTGGAGATGCGTGGGACAGGACCCAAACCCTATTTCCAAGGGCCTCTGGATAGGCCAGAGTCGAGTGACCGCGGAGGGGAGGCGGGAACCCAAGATCTCTCTGCAGTCTGCCTGCTCTGCTTAACTCCCTCCGGTTCTCGGTGGCCTGGGTACTGCTAGCCCTGTTCCTGGGGTGGGGAATGGAGAGCCTTTGCTGGGACCTTTTGGGTAGGGGTAGAGCAGGGCTGATTGCGACGAGGTGGAAAGCCAACATTCACTCCCAGGCAGGGCGTCCCTGTCTGGCTCTCATGTTCTAGCGACCTCGGGTCTTTCAAACCAACTCTCAGGTGAAGCGGCAGAGACCAAAACAATTTTTCCTAGGGACTTCCGGTAGATGAGAGATGGGGGAAGGGGGCTTGCCATAGCCTAGGCTTGGCCTAGTCCGGGTGGCCGAATCTAATCCTAGAAGGGAACAGCGGCAGACTGCAGGCCGGATGGGTCTAGGTGGAGTGAGTAAGGACCGGGGTGGGGTCTCCTCTCCTCTGGCGCAAGCCTATACTTTGGTTTCCTCTCAGGCCGCGACGGGATGACCATCTTTGGGCAGCGGCAGACCCCCAAGAAGCGGCGAAAGTCGCGCACGGCCTTCACCAACCACCAGATTTACGAGTTGGAGAAGCGCTTCCTCTACCAGAAGTACCTGTCCCCCGCCGATCGCGACCAAATTGCGCAGCAGCTGGGCCTCACCAATGCTCAGGTCATCACCTGGTTCCAGAATCGGCGTGCCAAGCTCAAACGGGACCTGGAGGAGATGAAGGCCGACGTGGAGTCCGCCAAGAAACTGGGCCCCAGCGGGCAGATGGACATCGTGGCGCTGGCCGAACTCGAGCAGAACTCGGAGGCTGCGGGCGGCGGCGGCGGCGGCGGCGGCGGCTGCGGCAGGGCTAAGTCAAGGCCTGGCTCTCCGGCACTCCCCCCAGGCGCCCCGCAGGCCCCGGGCGCCGGGCCCCTGCAGCTCTCGCCCGCCTCCCCGCTCACGGACCAGCCGGCCAGCAGCCAGGACTGCTCGGAGGACGAGGAAGACGAAGAGATCGACGTGGACGATTGAGCGGCGCCCAGCATCATCCGCAGCCCCGGGCTCCTAGCGCTCTTTGCCCGCCACCTCCCGGACAGGACCGCCAAGGGGAGCTGGGACCTCCTCTGCAACTCCCGCCTTCTCCCCTGTCCCTGGCCTGGACTCGACTCCCGGCAGCCGCCACTTTCCTCTCGAAGCAATAAACCTGGGATGGCCGGCCAAGCCGGCCGCCGCGCGTGGCCTCCGCTGCCCCGGGAGCCCTCGCCGTGCAATTTTGTATGGCTTCTGTATAAATATTTAAACCTATATACTGGGTTCTTCCCACCGCAGCCTGACTTTTTTCTTTCTTTCTTTTAGTTTTTAAAATCTCGGAGTTTCCATGTTCTCAAAGCTCAGGCTGCCGGGTTTGCTGAGGGCGAGATAATATCGAGGGTAATGAACACTTAACCTCGAGGTCTGGAGGAGGGGCCGCCCCGACTTTTGATTTTTCTCTGCATGTGGCGAATGCACCGGCCCTCTCCCTCCTCACCTCCCTAGGCCTATTGCAGTTGATTTCTTTTATTTCCTTCTGCCTTTATTCCCCCACACACACCTGGGAAGGGGCTGAGGGGGGCAACCGGGTCTTGACTTGCGAGTTTCAAATCGATGTTTCCCCCTCCCCCCCAGCGAGAGAAGTCTGTTTTCGATGCCATTTCTGCCTCCTAATGCCCAGTAATGCTATTTTTAAGATTCCTCCCCACCCTCTCCCGGTTGCCTGGGACTGACTATTGGGGTCCGAGTCTTAGGGACAAAGCAGGGGGAAATCCAACAACCAACCAATCAACCAACCAACGAAAACAGAACCCAAAGTTCAAGAATTATTTTTTACTCTTTTTAGAATTTTTTTGCATGTGACAGAGACTGAGACGAGGCCGACCTAAGCCCTCGCGCCACCTCCTCCACAGCTCTGGGTCTGTCTTGTGGTATCCAACGCCCTGCTCCTAGCTCGACTTGGCCAGACGAGGGTGCCTGGATGAGGGTGGGCCCCGCGTGCCACTCCCCTGCTCCTGCCCTGCCCTCTCCTCCCCGGACTGTACCCAAGGCCTCTTTTTCCGATAAATAAAGTCTTTGCCATTTTACTAGAACCGGCGGTGACCGTGTCTGAACGAGTGGACCTTATTCAGTGAAGCCGCGTCAGGCTCGGTGTCTCGCCGCTGCTGGTCGCCGGCTGCCCAGGCCTTGGAGATTTGGAGGAGTTTCAGGGCAGGCGTGAGAATGAGGGGTGAGGGGCAATTAGTGAGAGGGAGGAGGCGCTTCTTGCCCACAAACACGTGGCAGCTACCAAATGGTGCGGGGGCGAGAGAAGCGGGCTTCGCCAGGTCCGGGTAAAAAGAGAGGCGTACAATGCTGGGAGAAAACGTGTGTGTACTTTGAGGGCGCCACGGGTGCAAAATTAATTTGTATGGGGCAAAGGCTAGGTGGGGGGGGACTTGCCGTGGGGTTCGTGCATCCCAGCCGGGACCCAAGGGCATTCTTCCTGCGCTCCCCGGGACACCGGCTAAGCCTTGGGTGTGGTATATAGCTCAGTCGGGCAGCGGACTGGAGCCTGAGAGCTCCCCAAGCTTCGGTTCGCCAGAGGGCCTCACCCTTGGGTGAGGGAGGAAAATGAGGCCAAAGGCACCAAGGGCAGACTTAATTACTCGCACGGGCACTGGAAGATGTGAGCCCGAAGCATCTGAGAGTTGGGGTGGATTTCTGGTAACGTTCACAAATTCTGGGCCCCGAACCCGGCTGGGGACAGAGACATCAATCTCCCAAGGACTCTGGGGGAGTCCCCGCACCCCGAGGGCGGCTGGAGCAGGAACACAGGCAGCTTTTACTTTTCCGAACGGAGCGGGTTTCTTTCTGGGCTTTTGTTGTCGCTGGGCTAGCGAGTGGCCGCTGTCACTAGAGGAGGGTCCCGCCTCCAGGCCACTCGGCTCTCTTTCTAAGCAAAATTGATGTGAGAAATGTGCATCTGGTCTCGGGCAGGCGATGGGGCCCCGGGGCCTGAATCGGGAACGTGCGAGTCCACGAGGAAACGAAGAGAGAGAGATAGAAGAAAAGAGAACAGAACACTTCAAAAGCAGAGCGAGAAAGTGGAGAGCCACAGAGACGGGGGAGAAAGAGAAAGAGGAAAAGCTACAAAGAGAAAGACAGAAACAGAGACAGAGACAGAGGGAGAAAAGTGGAATGGGGAGAAGGGAGAGAAGAGAGGCGAGAACGAAAGAAGGAAAGAGGCGGCCGGGCAGCGGGGCCGGCGTGCGGCCGGTTCCTCCCGAGCGACATAAATCGCCCTCTCAGGATGGATGGGTCTGTAATTCGGAGCGCGGACCATGAAGGCCGGGACGAATGGACCCGGGCGGCCGCTGACAGGCGACAATAGCCGGGCCCAGCCCCCCGCGGCTCCGGGTGCGGGCACGGCCACGGCCCTCCGCAGCCCAGAGCGCGCCGGCGCTGGCGACCATATGGTTTTTGAATTTTCTTCACAATTTGTAGACAATTTGATGGATTAGGTCCCCGCGCGCGCCTCCCCGGCACAAAGGCGGCGCAGGGACCGCGGCGCGGCGGTCACTTGGGCATCTGCGCCCGCCGTGCGCACCCCGCCCCCGCCCGGCCCCCGCCCCGCGCCCTGAGCCCGGGGCCGCCCGCCCAACACGCCCATGAATCCCAATGAAGCGGCCCTGGCACCTCAGGCCGCTGCCCGCTTCGCGGCCCCAGGCCGGACCCTGCTGGGTCCCTTCGGGCTGGGGGCGGCGGCCCCGGGGCTGAGCCCACCCGAGCTGAAGAGCCCGCGGGGCGCGCAGCTAAGCAGGCGCATCGGGGCTGAGGAGAAACGGGGCCATTTATCCGCCCGTCTAGTTAAAGCGGGTTATTTGTTTGCTTCTCTGGCCTCCCCCTCCCATCCCCTCCCCCTTCCCTCCTCCCCCTCCTTCCCCTTCTGCCTTTTATTCTTTTGTCTCTAAATGGATTTAATGAGCCTGAAAAACATGACAATTGAATATAACCAAGAAATAAAAAGTAACGAGGGAGGAAGGAAGAAGGAAAAGAAGGAAGGAAAGAAGGAAGGGGAAGGATTAATAAAATAAAGGGGGAAATCCATTCAATTCAGCAAATGTTTGTTGTGCCTCTTTTCTGCGCCAGGCCACGCTGGGGGCTGGGGAAATGGAAACGAATCAGATCCAGTTCCTACCCTCAAGGAGCTCCCAGTCTAGCAGACGAGACCCGCCGCACCCCAGCGCAGATAGGAGACCTGGACCGAGGGACAGGGAAGTGCCCTTTGCAGAGCCCAGAGAACCGACTTAGGGCCCGGGGTAGTGCAGGCTTCACGGAGGAGGTGGCTTTGGACCCAGGCCTTGAAAGATGAGGAGGAATTCGTTGTTTCTATAGGCCAGAACGAGGGCGGGCAGAAGGAGGGACCGCACCGTCGTCGGAGGGAAGGGGAGAGAGGCGAACGTGGAGCCCAGGGCTTGACCCCAAGAAGCCCTGGAGAGAGCGCGCCGCGCTGGGTCCCACACCTTTTGGGAAGCGGATTCCAGCCGCCCCGCAGTCTTCTCGTCTGTGCTGGATTCGATGCCTCCGCCAGTCTGCCGGTGGGCTTCCGGAACCCGGCCGACAGCGCATGTGGCCGTGGCATCCCGACTCGGTCCGAGCGGGCAACGCGGCGCGGGTCTAGTTTCCCGGCCCCATCGCGCAGGGAGGCGGCGACGACTGAGGGCAAGGGCTGAAGGGCTTGTCTGGAGATGGGAGCGAGGAGTTGGGGGTCCAGGGAGGCCTGGGCTCTAGCCCACCCTCTCCCAGGCAATCCCGGCTCTGATGAGAGGAGCTACCCGTACGCCGCCCAGGGCGCTGGGATGGCCTTAGCCACGCTTCGGGTGCTTCAGCGGGGACCTGTGATGGGAGAGGGCCTCGAATCCAAGTGCAGGCCCTGGTCTCCTAACAGGCGCCGGCCGGGCCTGCCTCGGGTGCGGCTGTGCGTGGTGTGTGCACTGCATGTGTGCGCTCCGTGGGAGCCGGACGTGTGCACTACGTGTTTGTTCTCCGAGTGTGAGTGTATGTACAAGTGTGGCGTGGATCGTGTGAGGGGCTGTGGGCCCTGCGCCCATTCTCAGGGCGAGGTTCGTTAAGGTTTGGGACCCTCCTGGCCTCCAGCCCTGTGGCGGAGTTACTTTATAGCCTGGGGCCGTCGCAGGCCTGCGTGCTCAGGACTCTAGCCTCTCTGCAGACCCGCTTTCGGTTCCCGGCTGCCCAAGAGAGGCGGCCCAGCTCTGCCTCTTCCTTCCCGGTTGGGTCCGGGGCCTCGGCCCTGCTTGCCAAGTCCCAGGACGCGGGCAGGTTCTGCTCTCCCGGCCCGGGACCCCGCAGGGCGCGGACGGGCTGGGCCTGGCCCCACGATCCGGCTGGCTCGGCTTTCCCTGCTCCGCCTTCTCCGACCCGGGGTCCTGCGGGCGGTGCCTGGTGAGGCCAGGAGGCGCAGTTCCTTATTTTACGAGGTGTCGGGCCGGTGTCAGACGCAGCTCCGATAAGTAATACTCCAGTCTGAGGGACCAGAACGTGGTAATTAATCCCAAAGACTTAAGTGTATTTTAGTTCAGGAGAAAAAAAATCACTAATTCAATCGTCCGGAAAATTGAAGTTTGATGCATGAGTCCCCCCTGAAAGGGACGGGCTGGGGCCGCGCGCCTCCCCTCCGCCCCTGCCAGTCGCCGCGGGGACCCCCTCCTCCCCACCCTTCGGAGCCTCCAGGTCCAGGGAAGTCCACTCACATCGCCCTGCATGTCTCCTGCCGTTGGAACCCAGGGTACCTTGACTTTGCTTCCTACTCCAACAACCAACCACTCTTTCTCGCGGCCCAGAAAGCGGTTTGTGCCGAGAATACGGATGTTCCTCCAACACACACACACCTGGGAAGAGGCCTAAGGGAGCATGAGGTGTAGGGGAGTGACTAGATAAGGGACCCAGAATGGACAGGGTCAGGGACTGCAAGACGAAGGAGAGGGGACCTGGAACCTGAGCAAACTGGCGTCACGAGGGTCAGCAGGTTGGAAGCCACTGTGGTAAAGTGGAGAGTCCCCTGGCCGGCTGCGGGTGGTGTGAGTCCAGGTTAGAACTGTGGGTGTGCTGGGTAGTGATGGTTGGGCTGTAGAACTGTGGATGGTTGGTTTGTGTGCAAAATGGGTGCCTCCCTAGACTGTGCATGTGCACGAATGAGGTCTTGGGCAGAGGTTAGCAGGCCTGGGGGAGCTGGGAGCCTGATCCCGGATGGGTCCACAGGCTGTGTCTCCCACGGATGAGGCTCCTGGGACTAGAGCAAAGGAAAGTGGTGGTCCTAGGCCTGGTGCATGTGTATGAGGGGGGGAGCAATACTCGGGATGGAGAATTCCCACCCTGAGTTTTCCTGGGGCCCCAGCTCTGCATTTCCAGATCCAGGGCTGCCATCAGCAAGTTACCTTGTCTCCGCCTAACAGGTGCCAGTCCAGAGAGAGACCTTGGGGCTGAGGGTGTGTGTGTGTGTGTGTGTGTGTGGCCAAGTCCTCCAGCATCAACTGAGTGTGTCAGGAAAGTGTGTGCAACTGAGAGACTGGACATGTGCAGCTGATTGATGAAACGGAGCATGTGCAACTGGGGGTGACTGAGTGTGTGCTGCTGTGTTCATATAACTGATGTTGCAAACTAGGTGTGACTAAGTTTGTGCAATGGACAGAAAAGAAGTAAAGCTGTCACTGGGATGGGTGTGACCAGCGGGTGAGTGATGCCCCCCGGGGTGTGTGATGTATGCAGGGAGCGGGTGTGAGAAGATAACCGGGAGAATGAACATTGATGTGGAACTGAAGCTACAGACAACCAGAATCTTAGCTCCAAACAGGTTGACCAAGCTGGCTACTCAAATTCTCAAATTTACACTTATGGTGGGGGGTGGAGTGGAGCACATGATGGGAAGGGAGGGGGGCTTATGAGAGGAGTGAGCAGAAAGTGGGATGGAGAACTTCAGCCTGAGCCTAAGTCTACTCTGAAGGCAGTTGGGGCAGTGAATAAACACTATATAGACACAGACTCTGCTTCTTTTGAAGGGGGGTGGGGTTGTCCTCTGTTTGCTCTTGGGTAATGGCTAGGATGCAGCCTGCCCTCTCCTACTCAAGTTGGTCCCCAGGCTGAACCTTAGTGTAATTTGCAGACCTACCTTTGGCTGTACCAGTCCCACGTTGCCCTAGAAGTCCCAGCCTCCCCCAGCTAAGTTACTCCTCCCTGCAGGGGCTCCTCGCTGCCCCAAATGGGGAGGGTACAAATGGCAATGTGCACAGGTGTGCATGGTGGATGGTGTGTGGGTGATGCTGCCGGCAGTGTTGGGAGTGAATGAGTCCCACCTGCTTTGGAATCTGGTGTGTGTATGTGCGAGTGTGTGCAGGGATTGCTGTGCACTGGTGTGTGCATGTGGACATGTGCAGGTTTCCCTATGGAGAGTTGGATGTGGCTAGTTGTTTGTGAGTGAGTGTGAATGCAATAGGGAAGGAAGAGTAGTTACCTGTGAGTATCCTGGGACCTGTGTGGGTTTAGTTATGAGCATGTGTAGATAGAGATGAGATGAGTTGTCACCGCATCTGGGTGTGGTTGTATCATCTGAATACATGGATATATGCCTATACCCAACTGGGTTCAAAATTCAAGGGCTCAAGTCAGAAGCAGTGGGTCCAGGGCTCTGTGGAGAGGGATCTAGGGCTGGGAGTCTCCCAGCCTTCCCTCCCCTTCCTTACCCATCCCCCCAACAACCCCCCAACACAGAGGCTAGGAGGGAGGGTAGGGTGGAGAAGGAGTGACCCCCTCCCACGTCTCAGAGGCTGCTCACAGTGAAGTGCCTACGTCTCCACAGGGACTGTTCCTTCTCTCCTGATGTCTGTGATGGGGCATATTGATCGGGTTGCCTGAGGACCCCCTGGGACCACATGCCCACATGTAGATGAGGGATACTGCCACGGCCAATCCAGGGCACACACAATACAGACACACAGTGTCACACAGACATCGGAGAAACAATGCAAACACAAAGGGCAGGCACTGAGTTGCACACACTCACAATGCAGAAACCCCAAACACATACACAGTGATGCAGACATACAGAATGCCCAGAAACAGTGCGGACACATATGACACAGCACACCCATGGAAATATAGGTAGCCAGTAGCACACACAACAGTTAAACAGATAAACCTTTGCTGTTAAATGGTTACACCATCCCCACTGTTATACACACAATACAGACACAGTGACAGAGGCACAGCCCACAATGACCACAAGCACACACACGTGCTTCCACACATTCTGTGCAACCACAGGCGTGCAGAGGGAGCTAGCTGGTTTAGGCGACTTTGGGGAAAACGCTGCCAATGTTCTGACGTTCTGAGAGGAATCCAAAAGCTATAGAGGGTAGCAAATCACAGACAAGGGTGGCAGGCAGGGAGGCTGAGGCTGTCCGGGAGAACTCCTAGCCTTTGGCCCAGGAAAAACCCAAGTCCCCAACCGCCCCAGAAATGCAATCAAAACTGCTCGTCACCCACCCACCCTGCACCATGGCTCTGGCTGGAGTCGTTATCATTTTTGTTAACTTTTTATCGACTGTTTGCTAGATGGCGTGTCAGTAAAGTGTATGATTTGAGATGAAAAATTAGGCAGATTAACCTGAGGGGAGAGCCTGATTGATTACTAAATAGGATCAATTTGAAAGTTTTAGTCCTGGCGTTTCTGCAGAGCCTCTTAATACTTCAAACTTCAATTTTACGGGCGATTGAACTAAGCATGTTTCTGACAAAATTGATATATGTATTAATTTGCTTTAACTGGTGATTAATTACTCTCCACTGAAAGAATTATATGGAGCTGTTTGCCTGCGATTTGCATATTAATCAAATTCTAGTTGATAATTCCACCGGTGGGGGGGTCGGGGCGGGGCGTGGGTCGTGAGAGGGTGTGAAGGGGTGTTTGCACGTGTTCATGTGCTGGTGTGTGCGCCCGTGTATGTGGGGGGCTCCCCACCCCCTCTTTGCTCACTCCCTGCTTAGCTGCCAGTTTAGTGCATTAAAACCAAAGATGCAGAACGAGTTTGCCCGGCTATTTGGCGGGAGCAGAAATTGCCTGTCCGGTTTTATGATCTGCTCAGCCTGAGCAGCCGGGTCCTTAATGTCCCCTGTCAAAGTGTCCGCAATTTAAAGGGAAAACGGCCCCCGCTTTAGCGCCGAGCTGGCCTGACAAGGGATGAGGCAGGGACGAGCACCCCTTTAAATAACTCCCCTTCCAGAAGGACTGGGGTTTCTGGATGGCACCCCAGCTCTGGGGACCCTGGAGAACCAAGCTGTGTCCTTAGAAGGTCCTGGCTCCTGGGAGGCTCTAGCCATGAAGCATCCCCCCCTCAACACATAGACATGGGGCCACATACAGGCACAGCAGAGATCCAGAGACGCGGTCAGCCACTGTCACTTGAGCTGACAGGCAGGAAGCCACCCTCTTAGACACATGCAGACACTGCTACGCAGAAGTCACACTCCTGTTCACTTAGACCCCCACTCGGGCCTGTCCATAGACACACTCAGCTACCCACAAGCACACCCAGACGCACAGAACCCCACACAGGCGGGGAGCACACATAGACACCCAAGTCACGTCCACGCGGCCTTTCAGGAGCACGTGGTCACACACACTCAGACACACGCACATTTTCAGATCTACACGCAGGCCACATCTACACACCACGCCAGGCTTAGAACCCTGTCGCATGGGGATTCGCAGGCGGATACACCCCAAAGGCCTGCTCACATCTTCCCGGGCACACGCAGTCCTCACCGCCCCCTCCTGGTCTCCTTGCCCCGCCCGACTCTTTAAGCTAAAGGGGGCGGCGCCACTGAATCAACTTTTCCCATCTCTGGATTCAAAGGGTAGGAGTGTAATTAAAACCAGATAATTAATGAGACAGTATTCCTCCAGCTACATCTTTAATGAACAAACCCCTTCAGGGAAGCCTCTTCTTCTAGGCTCATTAAAGAGAAGAAAGTTGGGCGGCTCGAGGACTTCCCAGCGCGTTAATAACCAACCCGGAGTGGGTGCCTCGGCCGGGAGCTCGGGAGCCACCGCGGCGCTTGCTGGCCCTGGTTCTCCCACCACCACTCTGCACCTTGGCCCGCCCCCCATTCCCATCCCCTCCACCCCCACCCCCACCCCCACCCCATTCCCACCTGGTCCCAACCTCTCCGGCCGCCCCCAGCGGTCCTGCCAGCCGCTGTTCAGTGACTCCCTGCTCCGCCTGCCCTCTCTCTGGCGGCCTCTCACCAGCACCAGGCAACCTGCGCTCGGATGTGAGCGGGCGTCAGGCCTCCCAGTTTCCCTCTCGCCCTGCGCGTTCCAGGCCCTCAGGCTGGCTGGGGCCGGCTCTGTAGAAAGGAAATCAAGGCAAGGTAGGGGTCCGAGTTTCCCTCTGAACCTCAGTGCCCTAGCTGAGTGGCCTAGGACTGGCATTTGAGCTGCGGTCCTGGGAAGGGATTGTTGAATGTGGGGGCTGAGGCGCTCGTTTTCCACGCGCGCCTCGTGCATTTTCAGGAACACGCACTAACAACCACATGCACGTGCACTTGCGCGCACGAGATCTTGCATATACAGACACGCCTACTCGCTCGCGCACACAAGTGCACTGTCGCGAAGCCTCGGGTCCAGACCGTGGGCTCAGGCAGCGGGGAGAGCCTGGCTTGGGCCTTCTCCCCCGCCGCCTGAGGTCGACCTTGCATCAGTCGTCTCCAGGGTGGGAACCTTTTCGCTTGGCGCGCAGCCTCCTGGGCCTGGAGCAAGCAGTTCGGCCAGATTAACTAGGAGCGGGCAGCGTACGGGGGCTCAGGGCCGGGGGAGCCCTAGTCAGACCCAGACGGGGGCGGTAGCTCTCGCAGCGGCTTTGGCGGCGGCGCCTGTTTTCGCCTGCGCTGGCTTTTAGGGATGAGTGATGTGGCAATGAGCGAAGTAAATCTGCACGCGCAAAAGATGCTAATTACTCTTAATAGCCTACCCAGACGCCCCGAGACTGGAAACCCAGAAACGTAAATCTGCTCCCGATAAATATTTTTAATTGTGAAATTTCCTGGAAAGAAGGCTTTGGTTGCGCGGGCCGAGGCATTTGGCTTTGGAGGGAGGAAAACGGCCCCCACTCGGAAAGCCGGGTCCAGTGTCAGGGACCCGCACAGGGGTGCCAGGCGCGGGCCGAGCGATCTGAGCCCGGCTGGCCGGCGCTGGGTAAAGTTAGTGATGTATCGCATTAATTACCAGTGTGAGCTGCAAATGGTTCGAGGCCCAGGGAAAATTAATGGGAATCCAAATTCTAATTATGTAGCTGTTGTTAAAAGAGTTTAACTAAATAGTCATGGAGAAAATCGGATTATGCATAGAAATATGCAGCCGGCGTACGCGGTCCGGGGCACCGGTCCGGGGACTCTCAGCCAGGCCGCCCCCCGCCCCCGGCACTGGAGGACCCTCCTCCTCTCAGAAGGAGAAGACCCACCCACGCCCCAGCGTATAAAGGCCCTGCGTTTCCCTATGGCAGCGGCAGAGCGGGGCTCAGGATGGGAGGAGAAGCCAAAGCTTGCTGAGGCGCCCGCTTGGATGTGGGGTCGGTGTGGAGGTCCGGGGTTCCTGGGTCCCTTGGTCTGGGTAAGCGTTTGTGCCCATTTCTCAGGTGATTGCCTCCGGGTCTGGGCAAATCCATCCTGCACCTCTTTCTGATAATCATATAATTATATTTGGGCGCTGTGGCTTTACATTGTTTCCACTGTCAGTTTAAGGAAATAGCCACCAACCGGAAGCCCAATTACAGCCGAAGCCTCGTCATTCACTTTATTAAGGACCCTGGATATGTCTCCATTTTCGCAGGAAATGAGGTCTGATCAAGCAGCAGTAATACCTCCGGCCTCGGGGAGGGGGAGGGGACTCTCAGGGGCGGGCTCTATCCGCCCCCCCGCCCCCACCGAGGCCTGGCAGCAAGTGGTGCCGAAGCTTGGAAAACGGGCACCTTGGGGCGGCGGTCATTCAAACCTCCACTTCTCCCAATTTCTCCCAGAACCCTGGATTCATTTTGCCCCAGGCCACCCACTCGGCAGGCCCTCACTTTCCCGTGTCTCAGCGCGCTGACCTTGGACCTCCCGCCGCGCTGGCACTGCTAGGGACAGGGAGCTAGGGCCCGGATTGTTGAGGGGACTCTGCAGGCCCAAAGGGAGATTCAGCGTCCTTTCAAGCCCACCTACCCCATTCCAGGAGGTTGGCAACCTCTGGGGACGTTGTTAAGGCCTCTGGAGCAAGGCGGGTAAGCGTGGACCGCAGGGGAAGCACCACCTCTCCGGGTCCCAGTCCCGGCTCACTTCAGTCTCTGAACCCACATTTCTATGTCCCCATAACGAGAACGCAACCTCTCCCCGCCACCCGCTACTTTAGGGGAGGAAGCCGGCGGGTCTGGGTCTCACCTAGGAGTTCCAGTCCGCCAGGCCAGACCGCGTTCCGCACTTCGTGAGGCTGCCAGCGCGTGACAGTTTCTATCGCCCCTCATCGGATCTCGATCTCTGGACGGCTGGGTGGGATTAACGCTTGCGCAGCTGGTAGCAGGTGCCCTCGGCCTCTTCAGGTCTTCCCTTCCCTCCAGACGGGCTCCGGATTGAACGCTGAGGGTGAGAGCCGGGAGGGAATGAGACCTCTGGGTCAAGCCTCCGAATACGGGGATGGTGCCGAGGGAGGATCCCACAAGTTTGGGGCATCACAGTCTCAGTAATTTGCAGGCCTTGGCGAGAAGCTAAACTGGGGCCCGATGGATCACTTCAGGGAAGGCCTCAAGCAGAGGAAGGGCACCTGACTCCAGGGTGTCCTGGAAAGAAATTCTGACCCAGGGAATGTGTCAGAGTCAGATGCATTTAGAGCCCCTTCCCCTTCTGTCCTGGACTCTGAGGGGGGTGAGGGCCGTTCTTCAAAGCTTGGGGCACATTTCCCAGAGTCAGCGGAAGCCGTTGAGGGTATCTGAAGGAAGAGCAAAGAAAGAGAAGCCAAAGATCCGGAGATTTCTCCCCCGCCCCCCCGCCCCCCCCCCCGGCCTTCCGGTTGCACGGGGTGGAGTATAGAAGACCCAGAGCAGGAGGTGATACACAGACCCACAAATCCTGGGAGGAAAACAGACAGATGGACAGACGCGGGAATTATCTTGCATTTTTAAATTCCCAGGCCGAATTTGGATTCTGAGACCCCGAATTCTTCTCCCAGTGGCCTCAGAACAAAACCTATAAATCCGGAGGTTTTATAGGTTTTAATCCGACGACAGATTAAAAGATGGAGGATCCTCCAACCCCTCTCCAGCTCCTGGGGAAGGTCTGGGGGATTCATCCTTTATCCCTCGCAATATGTGCCATGCCTTCGGCCCCGCTCTTCTCCTCGCCCTTTCCAAGCCTCCTGGAAACCATGGCTGCTCCATAGCTCCCAAATACCAAATCCGTCCCTCTGTTGCAGTGAGGAAGATCCCTGAACTCAGCTGGCTCCTTCCTGCATCCCTCCCTAAGTCTTCAAGCCAAATCCCCTGCACTTGAGCCAGGGTCTTCAAAAACCTGCGCTTCTCTGAGATGCGGGCTTCGAGCGCCACCTAGCGGCATTTGTGGAGGTGCTCAACAGCTGCATGCACCTTTCAGCCACCTCTTTCCCCCCAACCCACCTGGAACCCCAAAGCCCACCCGGACGTAGTCCCACTCTCACACCACAAGCCCTTACGTGAGCACGCTACACCTCCACTTTCTGGCACTGAGACATTAGGAGAGGGCCACAGCAAGGAAGAGCAGGGGTGCAGCTGGTGGTGGGGGGTCGGGGGGGCACCTCCTTGGAACCCTCAGATGCAGGGGACGCTCTTTCAGGGATCGGATATGGAGTGGGGCTGAGAAAGGCGCAAGCCCATGTCTCTGCTGGCGCGGGGCATAAAAAGGGTCCTCCTTGGGGCATCGCAAGAGGCCACTACTTCTGGGTGAGTGCCTAAAAGCGAAGTTATGAGCCTCTAGTCATCCCTATTCCTACTCCAGCCATGCGCTGCTCTGCAGTCACCCAGACTTCGGAAGCAAATTACCAGAACCCTTCGGCTCGCAAAGCTCAGGTCCTTGCAACCTCCTCCGCGCGGGAAAGGTTGGGCAAGAGCTCCCTCTGCTGTCCATAGTTCGGCACTGCTGCAGGCTGCCGCTCTGAGGGGCTGCAAAACTCGCAAAAACCAGGATCTGTTTTTCTCTGATCCTGACCTGATCTGCCGGTGGTCATCTTAGTCATCCCTCTGCCTTCAGGGAGGAGGTCCCTTACCCAAACGGGAAGAAGAGGCTTCTCTGGTCTTTATGGGTTTGCACAGGGAAGAAATGACTCAGTGCTACTGAGTTCCACCATTACTGCTAGTTCTGTGCTCTTTCCCTTCTGCTGCTGGGCCAGCTGCCTCCCTGCCCAACTGATACGGTGTCTGGCAAGTTATAAATTTCTTCCTCCACAGTATGATTGTCAAGCCTGACAGGACAGGCTGTATCTTCTAGGTAGTAAAATCTACAGATGGAAATGTCAGGGGAAGGGTGAGTGCCAACAGGTCAGTCCATTCAGAGACTATCTAAAAAGTGGTGAGAGGTGGTGACAGTGCTGTCTGGCACTTCTACAAGAGCCAAGATCCCTGAGTTTCCAGGTGACAGCCAGCCATTCCCTGGCAGAGAACCCCACGAGGTCCCTCTCGTGCTTGACACACACTGACTCCCCCAATACAAAGTACTTCCTCCTGCTGACCCAGGCTGCCACCATCTCCTGTTGACCCTGAGCCCCTGACCCTGGCACAGCTACTCTCACCAGAGCGCCACTCCCAGGATCTGCTCCCACGCCACTGCAGGGCATTCTCTAGCCCTGGACAGCTAGGTGAAGCAAGGTCAGAGTGGGCAGGAACCTTGGTCGGCGGTGGGATGAGGCAGCCCGTAAAGGTCACTCTAGGTCTTTGCCCTTGATTTTGGCACTGTCCTTAGAGAAGAGAGGGGGGCAGTGTGTGTGTGTGTGTGTGTGTGACGGAAGGAGGGGTACAGGACTTCGAAGGTCCCCCCGTAATGAGATCTGGTGACAACCTTTCATTTGAGGTGATGCTCTGTGGTTGTGTATAGGTCTCCCAGAGCTCTGATCCAGGCCCCTCCTGCTCATCTGGACACAGATCAAAGTAAGCCACAACTATTGGAAATTTCCAGTTACTCTAAGTAGTCCAGGAAGATGAGACTCCTTAAACCCAGGCCTTAGATGGGGAAAGTGGTGGTGGGGCTTCTGCCCTTTTCCATTCCTATCCTTTCTCTTTTGGGGTCTTCAGTAGTTTCCCATGAGGGGGCACAGTGCTTCCTCCTCTCTCCAGTGTGGATATCTGGGAGGCCTTAGAGTCACCACACTCTGAGCCAGGACACCTCGTGTCCCCTTCTCCATAGGTCTGGGAGAAGGCAGCAGGGGAGACGTGGCTGATGTGCCCAGCTGTATGCCAATCTGAGCTTGAGAAAATGCAGATTTCAGGGCTGTACTCCAGAGCCACTGAAATGGAATCCCTGGGAACCAGGCCTGAGAATCTTCCCTGTGGTGTGGGAGCCCCCTTCCTGGATTCTTATGCGCACTAGTCTGTGAGAAGAACAGAATCCCCAGCTTCCCATACCCGCCCCCCCACATACACACAATGGCTTACAGCTGAGGAAATCATGTCTGTCATTAGGGATCAGACATCCTGGGTTTAAGCCTGTAACTTCCTAGCTGTGGGACTTTAAGTCACTTCATCTCTCTAAGCCTCAGTTTCTCCATCTGTGAGTTAGGGACAGTAATCCCTGCCTCAGAGGGCTGCACTGAGGGCCGGGTGAGCCTAATGTTCCCCAAAAGAGCTTGGTAAAAGGCACATTTCAGTACAAATGCCGGCTATTATTCAAGAACTTCAGCGCTAGATGTAAGATGTTAATAAGTTCAGGGGGACCCTCCTTCAGAGATTTCTCCTCCATGTGGGCACATGAGGCCATCTCTCTTGCAGTGCCCCAAGGTTTCCACATTGTTCCCACATTTTCTTCCCAGCCCACCTCTCCCACCAAAGAAATGTAACTGATCTCTGTGGGAAAACAAAGGGGAAAACAGCCATGGCCTTACCCTTCACACGAAGGGGCTTACCTAACGTCACTTTCCAATATTAACAAAGTGGCTGCGGGTTAAGTTCACCTGCCAGGGGTGGGGGAGAACTTGTTATAAAAAAACCCCACAGGAGGCTGAGCCTGGATCAGGAGTTTGGTTCGGGGGGTGCTGGCTAGTACATTTTTATCATGTTCTCCAGGCAATTGGGATTCCTTTGTCACTGGGTGAGATCCACTGTCCGAGACTATCTAGTGTTATTGGTCATAAGAAGGCAGTGAGGCCCTGCCAGAAAAGCTCCCCCCGAGACCGCCTGTCTCTGGTTTCATTCTAGGGCAGACGCTGGGGTTGGGGTAGGGAGTAGTGAGCTGGGTGAACTGTGGGGACAATAACCTAGACATTGACCTAGAAAGACAGCAGGCAGGTCTATTGGAAACAGCAGGGCTTTGAGGTGCGGGACAGGGGTCTCACCCATGCTAGCCTTATGGTCTGGGCCTTGACCTGTCTAAAGCCAGTTTCTTCATCTGTAAAATGGGGGTGACCGTCAGACCTGCTCTATTCCAGAATGGTCATGAGTAGCCACTATTTCCAGAGAGGGGGTTGCATTTTCACAGACATATAGATGTGTGCACGTGTATGTAGAAATAAGAAAAGAACATGCATATTGTTCTGAAACTTACTTTTTTTTTCACTTAATAATAGATCCTGGATATCTTTCCATGCTTAGATTCTGTGGTGGTACCTTGTAAACTGTAAACTGCAAAACTGTTGAAATGTTGGTTGATTTAAATAACAGACCAAACATTACCCTTTGGGGAGGGTTCAGGGGTTGTGTCCTCATTGGGGTGCAGTGTGAGTGTGCCCATGTCTTTGAGGTGATAAGTTGGAGGAAAGGGAGGGTTAGTGAGCACGTGTGGGTGCTTCAGGAGCTGCTGACCCAAGCAGGATGGGGACTTTGCTGATTTTTAATAGTACGGAGCCTGGAGTGAAAAGGAAGGGACTCAATTTGGAGTCTTTAGCCCCTAGAGAGCCGCCCTCAGCTGCCTCCTAGAGTCTGCCTCCTTGGCAACTGGCCTTCAAGGGGCTCATTCTTGGGCCTTAGGCAATGGGGAGACCCACAGTCACCTCTGGGATGTCACAGAGGGTATATTAAGGGATATCTAAGCTGCTATAACAAAGAGGCCCCCAAATACAGAGGCTAAATGTGATAGATGTTTATTCTCCCTCATGTAAGTCTATATGCTACCACAATTAAGAGCAGACTCTGGAACCAGGTTCAAATCCTACCCTTTGTGACCTTACAGAAGTTACTCAACCTCTCTGTGCCTCAGGTTCCTCATCTGTAAAGTTGGGATGATAATAGTTAATGACACAGTAATTCTACCTCATAGGGTTTTTGTGAAGAGTAAATGAGTGAAGTCCCTCCAAAAATTCTTTATTGAGCACCTACTGTGTATCAGTCACTGTTTGAGGCCCATGGTGGCTCCCATGAGAGGGCTCAAATTGGCTGCTCTAGCTCCTGCCATCATGTCTGCCTCCCAGTCAGTGGGAAGAAGGAAAGAATAAGAGGAGCACATACCCATTTCTTTTAAGCTCATAACTTAAAAGTGGCCTACAGCTGACCTCTTCATAGCCATCAGTCAGAATTCAGTTGCACAGACTCACCTTAGCTGCAAGGATGTTGGGAAGTATAATCTTCAGCTGTGTGACCATGCGCCCGCTATAAAACTCAGGTGTGCTGAAGAAAGAACGGGATCATGGATATTGGTAGAAAAACTAGCATTTTCTTCTCTGTTCCTGGGGGCAGCCACATCTTCCTCATATACAGAGCCTGAGGAAGACAGTGATAGAGCGATGCGTGAGAGGGAACCTGAGGAAAAAAGCAGTGAAGTGATCATTTAGGAAGGAAGGTTCTTGATGGAATTCCCTGGTGGTCCAGTGGTTAGGACTCAGCACTTTCACTGCCTGGGGCCTGGGTTCAGTCCCTGGTTGGGGAGCTAAGATCCTGCAAGCAAAGAAGGAAAGTCCTTGAGACAGTGATAAGGAGATGGGAGGGCAGAAACCAAGACCCAGGGCCACCAGCTTGTGGCCAAGGTCTGGAGTCAAGGAGATGTCCTGGGGATGATGGACTATTTTTATGCATTTTATCTTCTTGTTTATTTCCTTCTAATCTCTTTGGGCTCTGAGTAAAGGTCTGTGGACTTCTGTGCTGGGAAAAAAGGTGCATTATTTTTTTGTGCTAGCCTGAGCCCAAGAGGAGGGAGACCAAGAATAATGCTGGAGGGCAGTGAGAGTGGAATCAGCCACAGGCCAGAAAGAAGTGGCCCAGAGTTTCCACACCAATGGGACAATGCACTGAGATTCCTGAAGGTCCCAGGAGAAGCAGCTGACAGGATGCACCGCAGGGCAAGTCTTCACCCTGACCTGTGGGATGGTGTGAAGTGTGGCTGAGGGTGACCACCGATGGAGTTGGGGACTTGAGGGCATAGAGACCGTGTGATGACACTGAAAACTAGGGGCTTTCATCATACCCACCACCTTAGCCTGTTGTCTGGCTGTGTTCTCCCTGTATCCCTAAGCTTACAGGAGCCTCTAGACCTGGCATTCTTAACCCAGTGCCTAGAAACCCCTGCAGCTGTGCTTAAGTGTGTTTTTCTGGGTGGTGACGCATTATATGCTGTTATCAGATTCCTAAAGTGTCTGTGACACAGCAGAAGTCAACAGCCTCGATTTCTTTCTCTTTTCCTTGTATCTGCTGTGAGGAAACCACCTTGATTTGATTTTGAAACTCCTGTGACTGTGCATATAAATGTGTTTGTATACATTAAATTTGAGGATGAGCAGGAATTCCATAGCCCTGGCCCCTGAGAGGACAGTGGTCAGGACGTGGCTGAGGTTTTGGCCAAAGCCCTATAGCCAGAGAAAGGGGAGGTAAACGCCAGGGAGAAGGGCGGCTGGGGGGGAAGGGCACACCTTCACCAGCAGGAGGGTCCCTGGAGGTGGCCCATGGGTGCAGTTTTCTCTCTTCTGTGGACCCAGCCAGGGAGGGAGGTCAGAGGGAGGGAGCATAGCAGATGGAGAAAGACAAAGGGGGACTTGGCAAGTAGAGGTGAGATCCAGCCGGCCTTTCCCTTTTCTTCAGCTCTAACCTCTAAATCTGTATTCCACGAGACTGGAGATTTCAGACAGCAAATTCTTTGGATGGTGGGCTTTCGATGTATATCTGTTGAATGACTGAATGATTCAATACATAAAGCAAAAGTAGCTTCATGAGGGTACCAAAAAAAACAGGGAAACACAATCTTTGTAAGTCATCTGAAGCTGTTTTGGAGGGCCTCAGTTATTTCAACAAGGACTTGCTCTGTGTGCCGAGACCCTCACATTCAATCCCCAGAACAATCTAGAGACACAGGCACCGGGAGTTAGGATGCCCTTTGTGCAGATGGGGACGCGAGGCTGAGGACGAAGGCACCGCCCAGTGTGGCAGTTTGCAGGCGATCAGAACTGGACCTTTTTCCTGACTCTGCAGAGTCTGCGCTCTGTTCCTGCTCTGCTCCGGCCACCGCGCGAGCCCGCCCCTCTACTCAGGCCCTGCGGAGGTTGGGAATCGTGCCCTCAGGTTGCAGCTTTCCTTTCAGCATCTCTTTCCCTCCTCTCAGGCGAGCGGTGACGTCCGTCTCTCCAGCCTCTTGCAACTCAAAGTGTGGTCCTGGGACCAACAGCATCAAGCATCACCTGGATTTCCCTGAGTGATCGTGTGCCTGTTGGAGTTGGACGAGTTCAGCTCTAGCTCTCTCTCTGCCATCCACAGGTAAGGGAAACCGTGCTAACCTTATTTGTAGGAAGCCGCTTCCTCAGGGCTGCTGGGGCAGGGATGCCTGTTTCATTCAAGACCCGCAGCCTCTCTGGTCCTACTTCAGATTCCTTAGGACTTCTTCCTTTTAAAACTTCCCTCTCCTTCCAACCAGAAAGCCAGGTCCTCCTGCCCTCCCCACCCCCACCCCCACAATCCCCGCATTACCTTAAAAAACCAAACCAAACCAAACCAAACCAACACTGTACAGAAAAGTTGCAAAGGTAGTACAGAGTTCCCATGTACCCCTCACCCAGCACCCCTGTTGTTAGCGTCTTACGTTACCACAGTGTATTCATCCCAACTAAGCCAACAATATTGGTGTGTTACTACTTAACTAAACTCCACGTTATTTGATTTCACTAGATTTTCCACTAATGTCCTTTTTCTCTTCCAGGATTCCATCCAGGATACCTCATTACATTTAGCCGTCACGTCTTCTTAGTCTCTTCTTGTCTGTGACAGCTTCTCATGATTTCCTTGGTTTTTTAATGCCCCTAACAGTTTGCAGGAGTACTGGTCAAGGATTTTGTAGACTGTCTCTCAATTTGGGTTTGCCTGGTGGTTTTCTCATGGTTAAACTGGGGCTATGGATTTTGGGAAGAAGACCACAGAGGTGAAGTGCCCTCCTCCTCATATCACATCACATCTGGGGACATGTAATCAACATGACTCATCACTGATGGTGTTAAACCCCATCACCTGGCCGAGGTCCTGCCTCGCCTAACCTTCCCTTTCTTCTTTCCCCAAGTCCCTATCGTTTCCTTCCTGGTGGTTTGTCATCGTTTTAGTCGTTAATGACATGTTTGTACCGCAGCATCTCCCCCACCCCCTCTCCAGTGCATTCCTCCCTGTGCCACTTAGGCTGTTGCTCTGATGCTTTTATTACTCACGAGGTGTCCTGTTGGAACACATCCTCTGCCAGTGGAAGCACTGAGGCAGTCACATGTCTCCTGCCAGCATGAATCCTAAAAGCTAAATGGAAGCTGCCCATGGGGGCCTGGAGGCAAACAGGAGGCTGGGCCTTGAACAAGCCAAGATATGCTCTGAATGATTTAGGAAAGTGTATTCTACTCAAGTTGAAGGATAAAATTAGAGTTAGATTAGAAAGTGATGGGGAACAGGACAATACTGGATGAGTGAGGGAATCTAGACACAACTGAATGTTTGCATTTCTTTATATTTTATTCTAAATTCTGACTTATCCCTTTCAATCATATTAGGCTGTAATTATGTGCTTCTGCTTTGATGCAAGCCAGTCATATTTTCATTTTATACTAACAGCCTTGAATGGGAAACATCCTGCTGCCCTTCCCACTTTGAGCCTTCATTCGGCCTGTGCTCCATCAGGCAGCCCCCATCCTACCCTAGATCCAGGGCTTCCTGTTGCCAAATAATCATGGAAGAGGGAGACGTTAAAGACATACTCCAGGGGCTTCACCAAGCAGACGAGGTGCTCAGGAAAGAAACCTCTGGCCTCCGGGTGGAACTGATACTTTTAGAGTCCTCAGTGCAGGGTTGGGAGAGGTGCCCAAGATTCAGGCTGACCTGCCTCAGCCCCTGCAGCCCTAGTGAAATCTGTAGAATCATGTTCAACTTCCAAAATTCTCCATTCAGTGCTAAGTCTGTATGGTTCCAGGATTGTCCAGAGATGGTAAAACATTGGTACTTGTCTTTCCTGAACAACTGTCATGTACATGCCAGGTAGGAGCCTGCCTATGGAATGTCTGTAGGATTCTTAGTCACCCTACACAGGATGCATGATGGGTCCAGGTGGGAAACATCTGGCCAGTTCTCCTCAGGGGTGGTTGTGGGTGGGGGAGGAAGGGACAGTCAACTGCCACCACCATGAATGCTGGTTGTTCACATGAGACTGATTGAGGAAGAATGTTCTCTGCACTCATTTAGGAAGAACGGGCCCTTCGATCCAGCTGGTCACGCCCCTGAGCCACACATCCTGATAGGGAGAGGTGAGGGGCAAACTGGCCCCCAAGGCTATCGGTAGCTGTTTTCGTCAACTCTGTTTGATGGCAGTGAGTGGAAACCCACCCAAAGCAGCTTGATATAACACAGCCACAGAGGACTCCTCTTTGAGCCTTCCCCGGAGGTGGGCTGCAGAAACCGGGGTACAATGCGACCCCCACTCTACCAGACGTGGCTGATCAGAGCAGAGGTGGAGACTGACCCAGACTGGGCCCGCCAGAGCCTTTCTCCTCATTTGGACAAAGGCCAGAGGGTGGTCAGGTCATCTCTGTGGCCACTTGAATGTGTACACTCAGGGGCTGTGGAGCAGCCATGCTCAGTCTCGTGCACGTGGAGAATTGAAGGAAGTGGGTCTCAAGTAAGATGCTTGAGACCATGGAACCGGGAGAGAGAAGGCTGCCTGGCTTCCAGGCCCTCCTGGGGTCAGGGGTGCCCCTGTCCCTGGGTTCCAGGAGACACCTATCCTTATGATAACTACCCTTTTTGCCTAAGTTAGCCTGGGTGGGTTTCTGTCACTTAGACCCAAGAAAGCCTAAGACATTGTAGGTATTGTAGGAATTCAGAATATCACAGAAAGGAAATGCAGGAAGCACACTGGGGCTCAGGAATTGGAAAAATCATGTCTCTCTCAATGTGCCCATCTGGTTCTTTTTCTTGCCTATATTTATCTCAACAGACCAATTTTCTTTTTTGTTTCCAGCAGTGAATCTCAAACCAAGTGATTGCCCTAGTCCTGAATGTATACAAACTTTTAGCTTTAGCCACTAAACTGTAATCTCTGCATGTAGTTAAAATATGATAGAGAGGGGCGGGGAGAGAGAGAGAGAGATTCTGCTTAGCCTGGGGGACAAGGAGTCTCACACAGTGTATTAGTCAGGGACCATTTCTTCCTTTCTTTTTTTTTTTTTTTTTAAAGAAGAGACAGAAGTCCAACTCTAAGTATCCCAAGAAGAAAAGTGGGAACAGATTAGTTCATGTAACTGATATGAACAGAC